AAAAATAATGCAACTCAGAATATGACGCAAACCTGCAATAATTAAATGTTAAACAACACAAATATGCTTTATGTATTTAATCCCATTCTATTAACCAATGTCTTTGCTTCTGAGCTTCGATGATCCAGTTCAAGCGTACTAATAAGCACAAACTACTCTAGACAAACATTTGTGTGTCTTTGTTTATTGCTGAAGTGTGTTGAAATGACTTCTTCTGCATTCTACTGTACGGATGTAAATGTACTTTCCCTTCAGCCTGAGGCGCATTCATTTCACTTTTGGTGTGAAAGGCTTTTATATTTGCCAAAAATAGAACTTTTTTATTTTAAAAACAAACAAGCAAGCCCTGTCCAGCTTTAAAAAGTAACGCAAAAGTAACGTAACGCATTACTTTCCATAAAAAAGTAACTAAGTAACGTGATTCGTTAATTTTTTAATGGAGTAACGCAATATTGTAATGCATTACTTTTAAAAGTAACTTTCCCCAACACTGGCCATATTCATAAATGTGTTCATACCCCATTCATGTAAAATAATAAGTGCAATATTTCAACCTGATCTCATGAAAAAAATGTACTGTTTTACGAGGTGGCGATTTCGTATGATGAACTCGCACGATGCTATTCTTACCAATGCGCTAAAACGTTATGTGGGGGGGGAAAACAGGCAGAACGTGCGCATGCGCGGTACGCAGCACATGTGTCTCGTCACCGTAGTAACGGTTCGTTGACACCGTCTTCTTTGGCGTGATGAGACTGAAACGGCTACACATGCGATACTACCCACCAGGTAATATACACATTTAACGTTTTATATTACATACCATTCACCTAGTAAAGTTTTGCTGAGTGCCTGGTTCAATTTGACACTGCAAACGATTTGATCGAAGGCTCGTTGGATTCGCATTTGCAAAATAAAGCCTGTTTTGTTGTTGCGCAGGAATATTCCTGGACTATGAGAAACGGGGGCAGCTAAGGACGAAATCCATCGATCTGTTAAACTTGACTCCAGAGTATGACTCAAACTAGCTCACTCATAACTACACATTCACATGGCCTCGGTTTGTTATGTCTAGGTCACACTTTAAGATAAGGTTCCGCTTGGTAACAGTAGTTAAATACATTAGTGGAAAATTCTTCTAAGGCATTTATTACTCTTAGTTGATTATAATTTCAACATTTACTAACACATAATTTAAATCGAAAGTTGTACCTGTTAGTATCTTTTCATGGACCTGAGCTAACATTAATGAACAGGTATATTAACTAACATTAACAAAGCTTAATAAACACTGACACACTAACAAATGCAATGACTAACGTTAAGACCTTATTATAAAGTGTTACCACACACACACACTTTCTCTCTTTCTCACACACACACACACACTCTCTCTTTCACACACACACACTTTCTCTCTTTCACACACACACAC